GGTCGGGCGGAACACGCAAGTACTGAGCACCCTCTCCACTAGTAAACATCGCATACATGGCAGTGAGAATAGCATCAAAGTCTAAAGCCCAGATATCAACTCCCTTCTTCTCCAGATCAGCCCAGTGGGGCAGGTCAGTGGCATCAGGAAACTGGGCCCGCCACGCGTCAGTAAGGCGCGCGAAACAACGCTGTGTGGGATGCGGCCTCCCACACTGCTGGCCAGTGCGGCCTCCCACACTGCTGGCCAGTGCTGACATACGTGCAGGTAAAGCCACGCTGCGCATACCACTCACGGGCGGCCTGAAGCGACGGGGCGGGCTGCTGACTCTGTCCACCGCCAGCGCCTCCACGACCACCACCGCCGCCGCCACCGCCCCGGCCACCTCCACCCCTGCCGCCGCCACGACCACCTCCGCCTCCGCTGCCGCCTCCGCCCCTGCCACCGCTCCCGCCGCTGCTGTCACCACCCCCACTGCCGCCACTAGCCTCTCCAGTCCCACCGCCACCCCCACCGCCACCACTCCCGCCTCCCCCGCCACCACCTCCACCCTTGCCCCCTTTGCCCCTGCGGCGCCCGCTCGGAGCAGACGCAGCCCCGACCTTCTCAGCACCAAGGAGGTCGACAGCAGCAGCAGAGGCGACAGAGGGGAGGAGAGGGGAAGGGGAACACCCCTCAAAGAACGGGGTGCGGGGGTCGCCACGAGAGGTGCCTACAGCGACGATGCTCGCCTCAGCTGCAAGCAATTCCTTCTCGAGGAGGGCAATGGTGAGCTCAGTGGGAGAGCGAGCGAGGAAGTGATCCCTGACTGCGCGCAGAGAGTCAGGGAGGCGGGTGACGATGTGGTAAAGCGTGATCCAGAGCGGGGGGGGGTTGCTGGCAAGGAACTCGTCAGGCATAGCAGCGCGAAAGCGGGCCTCACTGGTCCTGAGGTGGGTGAAGAGGTCAGCGACTGTGCTGAAGGAGGCCAGGTCGGGGAACAGGTAGGGGAGGGTGAGGCGGCCTAGTGCGGCAGAGGCAGGTGAGGAGTAACGAGCAACTACAGCAGTGTACAGGTCCTTAGCAGTCTTGTGCTGGCCAAAGTGCTCGCGCTCATCTAGTGGCAGGGAGTTGCGAATGGCGAAGCGAGCGTGGGCATCACGAGTCTGCCACTGTGAGCGCTGAGTGCTGTCTGCAGTGGTAGGAGGGGCAGTAGCGTGACCGAGGGCATGATCGTACAGTGAGATGTCCTCCTTGGCAGTGAGCTGTAGGAAGAGATGCAGGTCATCTAGCCAGGTTTCGAACTTCACTGGACGGCCCTCAGCATCGAAAGCGAGTACAGGCGGACTAGCCATAATAGTAGCAGCAGTAGCAGTAGCAGTAGTAGCGGTAGCAGCTGCAGCAGCAGCAGTAGCAGTATCAGTAGAAGCGACGGGGCCGCGAAGAGGCGGTGCGCGGGGTCTATGGGGCCAGCGGGGCCTCTATGCGGGGCGCGCGCGGGGACGACGGGGCCGCGGGGACCTCTAGGCGGGGGGCGCACGGGTCGACGGGGTCGCGGGGCCTCTAGGCGGGGTGCGCACAGGTCGACGGGGTCGCGGGGCCTCTAGGCGGGGCGTGCACGGGGCCGCGGGGCCACCAGGGGTGGGTCGACGGGGCCGCGGGGCCGCTAAAGGAGGTGCGCGCGGGTGGGTCGACGGGGCCGCGGGGCCGCTAGGTGAGGGTCGACGGGGCGACGGGGCCGCGGGGCCGCTAAACGGGGTGCGCGCGGGGCCGCGGTCAAGGGTGGGTCGACGGGGCCGCGGGGCCTCAAGGTGAGGGTCGACGGGGTGACGAGGCCGCGGGGCCGCTAAACGAGGTGCGCGCGGGTGGGTCGACGGGGCCGCGGGGCCGCTAGGTGAGGGTCGACGGGGCGACGGGGCCGCGGGGCCGCTAAACGGGGTGCGCGCGGGGTCGACGGGGCCGTAAGCGGGGCCGCTAGGTGAGGGTCGACGGGGCGACGGGCCGGAATCGGGGCGCGCGCGGGTGCGACGGGGCCACTAAGGGGCAGCGTGCGGGGTCGACGGGGCCTTAAGGGGCCGTACACGAGGGCGCACGAAGGCGCGGAGGGGGAGGCGCTAACGCAGCACTCCGACAGTAGGTAGGTAGGTAGTAGAGGTGGGCCCGAAAAAAAAACTTAGGTCCTAGCGAAGGACCTGCTCTGAAACCATGTCAGAATAACTGAACGAGGAATGAATGAACTAGCTCAGAGTTTGGTACAAGTAGGAAACCCTAACTTTGTGTACCCCCTAAGGTGTAACCCACTACAGCCTACACAATATAAACATACAATGTTTGACATGGCGGAATTTACCGGCACGCACTTTCTATTCAAGAAAAAGCCTAAGCAAGCATGGCGAGTTGACGCTGACGGCTGGTACAGCCGTGTCCCACCAGAGCCTCCTGAGCCACCACAACCTCCCGCGCCACCTGCGCCGCCATCTCCTCCAGCGCCTCCTGTGCCACCATCTCCTCCAGCGCCTCCTGTTCCTCCCACTCCGCCCGTGTGTGCAGGCCCATCACATCCTCCCGTGCTCACGCTCCTGCACCCGTCGGCGTTCGACGAGTACCTGTCGGAGCCTGACAGCAACAAGCCTCCCGACGTCTACGTACGCGCTCCGCCCCCGGCACCACGATGGGGCCAGCCGCAAGATTGCGCGTGGGACGTATCTGCTGTGGGCGCTGATGACGACGAGGCCGACACCGAGGCTGGCACCGCGGCTGGCACCGACACTGGCGCTGAGGGCGGCACCGCGGCAGATGTGTTTCCCGAGGGTGTCCCGGGCGCGACGAGGATGACGGTGTGGAGTACTGGTCGCGCGACGGCCTTCCCGAGAAACTTCCTATTCCAACGTTTCCGCCTGTTAACCGCAAGCGTCCCCACCCCTCTTCTGAGAACCGTGATGCCCGCCCCCCCTCTCCCAGGCACAAGCCCTCGCAGCATAAGCGAAACTCGTATACCGCGCAGGAGAAGCTGCAGTGGGTTGGCCGCATGGATCTTTCGGTGTCACTGCGCGCGCTGTCTCGCGAGTCGGGAATCCACCGCAAGTGTCTCGCTGAGTGGAAGAGAGCCGCTGCCATGCTCAAGGAAGCGCACTCTGCACGGAAGCGGATGCACGGGCGCGGGAGGGCATCGTGGTACAGGCCGATGGAGCTGAAAGTCTACGCAAAGCTCCTCGAGTGGCGCCGCAAAGGTACTGCCGTCTCCGTCGGTCGGCTGCAGGAGTGGTCAAGGGAGTTCATGAAGCTCCTTTTCCCCGACGTGAAGTGGAAGGGGAGCCAACGGTGGTCCGAGCGGTTTCGGAAACGGTGGAATCTGAGCGTGCGCATGAAGACGAAGATTGCCCAGAAAACCGCGGAACGTAAGATGCCATGCCATTTGGTTTTGATGTGCATCGTGCTTGTTTTTATGTTAACCGGTTTCCGGTTGTGACTAACTTTTGCGTTGTTGACACTGTACCTGTGTGAGCAGATGTCGCGGAGCTGTGCCGGAACTTCTGGCAGTTCGTGCGTGACATGCGGCGTGAGCGCGGCATCGACAACCGCTAGATTATCAACGCCGACCAGACGCCGCTGTGGCTGGAGATGCCCGCCACCAGTACTGTGGAAGAGACAGGCGTTCGATCGGTGCCGATAAGGAGCGGGGGGTACCAGAATGAACGCGTGACCGTGATGCTTGCGTGCACGGCCGACGGCGAGAAGCTCAAGCCGTGGGTCTTTTTCAAGCGCAAGACGGTGCCGAAGGGAGATTTCCCGCCAGGTATTGTTACGCCCCTCTTGTTCAATGGTTTGTTTACCGTGTCGCTGGTTGTTGATAACATTTGCTTGTTTATTGTGGTTTGCCAGATGTGGTCGTGGCGTGTCACCCGAACGGATGGATGGACGCCGAAGGCGTCCTGCGCTGGCTCGACGAGTGCATCAAGCCCTTCATCAGGCCCCGGTTCGGCAGGCAGGCGAGGAGCGCCATGGTGGTTCTGGACTCCTACCGCGGGCATCTCACGGACTCTGAGGGAGAAGTTCACCGAGCTTGGCGTCGTGCCTGCCGTGATCCCGTCGGGCTGTACGGCGGAGGTACAGCCGCTCGACGTCTCAATCAACAAATCCTTCAAAGCCTCCATCCGCCAGCAGTACCAGAGCTGGTTTGAAGAGGAAGGCCAGGAGCGGCTGACGCCTGCGGGTAAGAGTTTCATCTGTGATTGTTTGAGCGCAACGTGAATACCCCCCCTTAGCTCTAACTCCCATGCTGTTACCGTTCTTGTGGTGCAGGGAACATCAAGAAGCCCCCTCCAGCAGTGGTACTCAGGTGGATCTCACGAGCCTGGAAGGCCGTGCCAGCGGAGCTTATCAAGAAGGCGTTCCTCACCTGTGGCATCAGCAACGCGCTTGACGGCAGTGAGGACAACCTTGCCATGGCGCACAGGCGGAGCCAGCTGACCCACGAGGTCGACGTCGATGACGAGATCATCGCCAACGGCTTCTTCGGCAACAACTGCGAGGAGCCTGAGTCAGACGACGAGTAGATTCTAGGAAGCAATGTGCTGGTGAAACATCATAATGCTGATTGAGATGAATGGTTTAGAAGCATGTGTAGAATTCTTGTTAGGAAAAAATGTTTAGATTAACAAATAGTGAAATGAATATCCCTTAGGGGGAGGGATGCGCTTATAAAAAGTACTGAGTTTTTAGGGGGTGCGCTTATAAATGAGGACCGGCCATGAGCGCATGGCTCCAGATAGAAGCGCCGGCGCCTTTAATCAGGCGGCGCTACTATCCGGGGCGATACGGTATATGGGGTAAAAACAGTTAGGGTTAGGTACTTGTATCCCCACCCAATTAATCTAACTCATTCTACGGTGTTTAGTTTCTGAGACTTCCCACTATCAATACACTACAAAAGAAACAAAGGAAATTCTCAAACGCTCGTGGCATGAAGGCACACGAGCTGCTAACCCATCTGCACCTCACTCCCAAGGGTTCCCGCCACCCTATCTCGGTCCCACTGCCACGGGTGCCCGGCCCACTGCTGCCCCCACGCGCTGCCGCCTCTGCTGGCGCCTGGCATTGTCCGCCTCAAAGTGCGCCAACGCCGCATCCAGACTCTGGCGAGCGCGGTGTGGTGGGGCGGGTGGGAGGGAAGGGAGGGAAAGGGATGAAGCGAAGAGGGAAGAAGAGTGAGGCGTGAGGTGTGAAGAGCACGCAGGCAGCTCGAGTGGTGCCTCCCCCCTGCTGCAACCCAGTATCCACAGCTCTTGCCACACACGAGCTCAGTCTGCCTGCCTGACCTTCCAAGTGCGCCAATGCTGCTCGCTCTGCCGTGTGAGGTGGTGGGGCCGAAAAGGGGGGCATGGAGGCTGCTGGACGGAAGAATAAAAGAAGAGGCAGAATGGAGGAGAGCAGCTAGCAAGTAAGAAGGGCTGTAGCAGCAAGTGCACCTGGAAGAAGGGCTGTAGCAGCAAGTGCACCTGGAAGAAGGGCTGTAGCAGCAAGTGCACCTGGAAGAAGGGCTGTAGCAGCAAGTGCACCTGGAAGAAGGGCTGTAGCAGCAAGTGCACCTGGAAGAAGGGCTGTAGCAGCAAGTGCACCTGGAAGAAGGGCTGTAGCAGCAAGTGCACCTGGAAGAAGGGCTGTAGCAGCAAGTGCACCTGGAAGAAGGGCTGTAGCAGCAAGTGCACCTGGAAGAAGGGCTGTAGCAGCTGTGAAAGGAGATGGCGGTTGGCCCCGTCTGCTCCGTCCTTGAGCTTCTGCACTCAGGAGGCGGGGACAGGTGGGGAGGCAAACAGGAAAAGGTCCCATGGGTGGAAGAAGAATACAGAAGGGGAATGGGGAAGAAAACGGAGCAAGCAGCAGCAGTGGAGCAGCAAGGCAAAAAGGGGGATAGGCGAGGCAGCAATTGCAGCAGGTAGTGAGCAGGGAGGGCGTGGGTGACCTGCAGGCGGTCGTACAGCTTGCTGATGCCCTCCTTGTGCCGCTCCGCCTGCCAGATTGTGCGCGCAGGGGAAGGTTGGGCGCATGAGCGGAGGGGTGGAGGGGCACATGGGGAGGTTGGGCGGATGGGCAGAGGGGCGCATGGGGTGAGGGGCGATGCAAGCAAAAAGTGAGGCGGGCTGACTGAGCAGCATGGGAGTTGTGGCGGGGTGGGGCAGGGTGGGGAGGGGTGCAGGGCATACCTTGGCGAGCAGGGCGGCGCTGGTGAGGGGGTAGGTGGCCCAGAAGTGCGACAGCAGCTCCTTCACTGCCTCCCCGTGCTGCGTGGTGTGGATGGGGGCGTGGCGTGGTGGGATATTCGTGCGCCACGTGGATTGGGGGGGCATGAGGCACGGTACACGGGTTATGGGATGCATGGCACATGGGTTGTTGCCGAGACCGAAAGGAATTACAAGACATGGCATGACAAGCCAAGCAGCATGTCTGCATGCACTCTGCTTGCCATGAGCACATTGCTGCATGCGCACTGTCTCGCCCCACCCCACCCGCCCTCCCGCCTCTGCCCTGCCATCCAGTGCTGCATGCGGTGGTGTCGTGGCATGAGGGAGCAGCGTGGCACCCACGGCGAGCAGGGCGGAGCGCAGGGCGTCAGGCAGCTGCTTCAGCAGCGACTGCTCCGCCGCCTCCCCCACTCCCCTCCGCGCCACCGCCACCTGCCGCCCAAACTCCTCCACCTCCTGCTGCCACGCGCGAACGAGGTGGGTGGGGTGGGGTGGGGTGGGGTGGGGTGGGGTGCAGAAGTGGCTTGCTGTGAGCAGTTAATGACGGGCATGAGTTTGTGGTCATTTATGGTGGTGATGTTGCTGCACCCATGCCATGCTCCACCCATGCTCCACCCATGCTCCACCCATGCTCCACCCATGCACGCTCCACCCATGTTCCACCCATGCTCCACCCATGCTCCACCCATGCTCCACCCATGCACGCTCCACCCATGTTCCACCCATGCTCCACCCATGCTCCACCCATGCTCCACCCATGCCATGCTCCACCCATGCCATGCTCCACCCATGCTCCACCCATGCTCCACCCATGCTGCACCCATGCATGCTCCACCCATGCTGCACCCATGCATCCTATCTCTGCCCAGCATCGCACCTGAGCAGCAGCAGCAGGCGCCATCACCACCGTCCCTCCCTTGCCTCCCCTAGCCTTCTCCCCTAGCCTGCTGCCTCCGCTTCCCCTCGCTGCCGCTGCCAGCTCACTCCGAAACGCTGCCAGCGAGGCTGCCAGCGTAGCGTGTGTGCCAGCTGGCGCTGAGTCAGTGGCGGGTGCAGGGCCGTCCAAATCCATTGCTTCTGGCGCAGCTGCCTGCCCCGCTTGCTGCTGTGTGTGCGCTGTGTCCCTCTGTGTGGCGGCATCAAAGTACTTGCGTGGGTCCTGCCGTGTGAAGGGTGGGGAAGGGGGGTGCAGATGGGTGGAGAGGAGCGGATAGACAGAGGGGGGTGTTAGCACAGATGTGAGGGCGAAAGGATTAGGTGAAGAGAAAGAGGGGGAGTGAAGGTGGGTGGGGGTTAGTGGTGAGAGTGGTGGGAGTGAGCGAGGTTGGTGGGAGCAAGTGAGCACCCGAGTGAGCATCCCCTGTGCCAGATCCACGTGCCTGTATGGTGAGGGGGATGGTGGCGGGGGGGGCGTCCCCTCGGAGGTCCGCCATCACTGCCATCTCGCGCGCCCTCTCCCTCCGCCACTCCTCCTCCGCCCCCTGCTCCCCTGTTGTGCCTGTTGTGAGAGGGGTTGGGGTGGTGTTGTTGTTGTTGGTGGTGTTGTTGTGAGGTGTGTAAGGGAGCAGGAGCGAGGAGCAGGTGCGAGGGTGTTGTGGGTGTTGGTGGCAATCCAGAAAAAGAGCTTGAAATTTTTCTTAAGAAAAGGCTTGCTTGTTGCGTTGCGCCACCACATCCCATCGCATGCCATTCAGCTCATGTGCCGTTCCAGCTCATGTGCCCCACCGCATGCTCACCTGACTGCTCTTCCACCTGAAGACTCCAGGCGTTCCTTCTCACACCACATCACACTACATTACACCACACCACACCACACCACACCACACCACACCACAGCACATTATACCACAACACAACAATTCACACCACACCATTCTGTTCACTCGCCCAAGACTCCATTCCTTTTCGCCCCGTTCATCTCTCGTTCGCCCCCTTCATCTCTGTTTCGCCCCCTTTCATTCCTCAAGTCTCACCACTCCCTCCGCTCCGCCTGCCATCCCCCCACCCTCCCTCCCACCTGTCCCCCAACCCACCAGCGTGGAGGGCGGTGGCCTCGGCGACGGCAGTGGCGAGCTCCCTGGTGTCCGCCACGTCCTCCTCTGCGCTCACATGCATGGGGGGAGGGGGGTAGTGTGGCATGGGGGCGGATGGGTGGGCAGGGGAAAAGACGGGGCGGAGGAGGGTGTGAGTGAGCTGCAGTGGCGAGCTCCCTGGTGTGCGCCACATCCTCCTCTGCGCGCACACGCACGCACATGCGGCCAGGGTGGGCATGGGGGGCGGGTGGATAGGCATGGGAAAGGAGGAACGGGGGCTGAGGGTGATTGCAGTGGCGAGCTCCTTGGTGTGCGCCACGCCCTCCTCTGCGCTCACATGCATGTGGGCAGGGGAGAGGAGGGGAGGGGGGGCATGGCATGGGACGTGACACGCATGGGGGGACAGCGTGGACATTGGGATGGGAGATGACAGGCGTTGGGGGGCATGCGGGACACGAGAGACACGGAGAGAGGAGGGCGAGGTGAGTGGCAGGTGAGCGAGGCCGGGAGGAGCAGAGCAGGGCACAGGGAGGTCAGCTCAGGTGGCCCGCCGAGCAGGACGCAAGGCAGATGGGGCAAGCGGCGTCAGTGGCAGCAGTGGGTGTCAGTCAGGATCCTGCACAGCGGGCAGGCGGGGCACGCACGGAGCAGGCGGCCCTGCAGCACGACAGCAGCGTGTTGGTTGATGTCGCGGAATATCGTGCGCCTCATGCGCACCTGGCCCCCCGCCCCCGCACCGCTACTGCCCGCAGCAGCCGCACCACCAGCGCTGCCGCTCCTGCTCAGCTGCCCGCCTGCACCTGCCCCCTCCTGCCCTGCTGCACCCTCCTTCTCCCCCTCCCCTTCCCCCTCGCCCTCCACAGCGGGAGCCTCCTTGCGGCCATCCCTGAGAATGCCATGGCCCTGATCATGCACACAGGTTCAGCACGGGGCAGAGGTGTGTGGTGTGAGGATGGGGCGGGGGTACCACAGGGATGAGGCACAGACGATCTGAGAGGTATAGAAAAGCGAGAGCACCGCAGGCAAGCGAGCAAGGAACCCCACTCAGCACCAACAGGTCCCGCACAGCCTTTCAGCCCCGCATACCCCTCGCACGCATCCACCTACACCCCCCCACCCCCCCACCCCCCCACCCCCACTCCCCCCTCCCAAGGCAAGGCAGGCAGGCAAGAGGGCACGGGGGCATGGAGAGGCGGGCGCGCACGAGCAGGGCGGAGTAGTCGTCGCTGACGTCCGCCAGCACGTTGAGCGTTGGGTCCACGCGCTGCACCTGACGGAGGGGTGAGGAGGAGACGAGCCCAGCATCCACATGTGTGAGGGATGAGGCGAGGGGGTATACATAGCGTAGGTGCCTAGGCGGAGAGGCAGACCTGACATCCGCCAGCACGTTGAGCGTTGGGTCCACGCGCTGCACCTGATGGGAGGGAATGGGGGGAGGGGAGAGTTGTGCTCACACGAGGGGGGAGAGACTGGGGGGAAGACGCGAGGAGCAAGGCGCCAGCACGTTGAGCGTGGAATCCACATGCTGCACCTGATGGTGGGGTGAGGAGGAGAGGGGAGGGCCCCGCCACTCAGATGCGAGGGGGGAGAGGCGAGGGGGGAGAGGCGAGGGGGGAGAGGCGAGGGGGGAGAGGCGAGGGGGGAGAGGCCAAAGGGAAGAGGTGAGAGCAAGATGGTTGAGGGCAAGGGGCAAGGGCGCGAGGGGGGAGAGCAGGAGCGGGCAGACTAGCAGGCAGGCTAGTGGGCAGGAAGGCAGGCAGGCAGCAAGACAGGTGACAGGAAGGCTGGCGGGCAGGAGGGCTAACGGGCTGGAACGCTAGCGGGAGGGGAGGCAAGGCACCTTCTGGCGCGCTTGCTGGAGCAGGTGAGGGTCGTCGCGCACAAAGAGCGCCAACTCATCATCGTCTGCTGCCTCCGCCTCCGCCGCCGCCACGTTGCGCGTGCGAAAGAGATACTCCGCCCTGTAGTACTTGCCCCAGAAGGCCTTCTCGCTCATCTTGTGGGGGGGGGGAAGAGAGGGGGGAGAGGGGGGGGAGGGAAAGGTGTGGGGGGGTGGGGGATGGGGGAGGAGGTAGAGAGTGGGAAATGTGGTAGCTTTCATGGAAGAGGAATTCCGCATGTTGCCCGGTAGTACTTGCTCCCGGTGAGGGGTGGGAGAGGGGAGGGGGGAAAGGAGAGGCGGTGGAGAGTAGAGATGTGATCGCATGCATGGCAGAGGAACTTTGCCCCATGGTACTTGCTCCAGACGCCTTCCCACTCACCTGAGGGAGTGGAAATCGACAAGGGGAGGGAGCAACGTTCGGGAGATGTGATTGCTTGGACGGAAGTGGCTAGCGGAGGTTACAAGTGTACAGGAGTGGGCGACCTCAGAGACGTCTCAAAAGTTTGTGGATTCGATAGTATGGTTGTCCCAGTTTCTTGGCATTGAGCAGGGAATAACAGACAGATAACCTTTCTTCTGCTGATAGTAGCTTCCTCACTGCTGCTCGTCCAGGCTTCATGGGTGAGAGTGGGAGATGCGATGATGGCTTGAAGTGTGCGGGCGCAGGCCAACAGACACGTATCAACGTAAGGCTTCATGAGCATGCTTCGATTCAAGGCAGTAGCACCCCTCCTTCCTTCCTCCCACGCTCCATGCAAGACAAACTCCCTCTTCCCCCCTCCCCCCCTCCCCTCTCCCCCCTCTCCCCCCTCTCCCGCACTCCCCGCCCGCCACCCACCCGCCCCGGCACGAGCTCAAAAGGCGCGGTGCACCGCTGGCTTCCACACTTTGATCAAAAGCAGTCACACCCCCCGTTCTTCCCACCCTCGCAGCATGCCAAGCCATCCCCCATCCCCCTGCTCCCCTGCCTGTCACGTCACCCACCCGCCCCGGCACGAGCTCCATGAAGGCGCGGTGCACCGCTGGCTTCTCCAGAAAGATCTGCCACAACGAGTGGGGGGAGGGGGGGAGAAGCCAGCGGAGAAAGCACATGGCCAGAGCACAAACAGCACGGGTTGAACGGCGAGATGAATGGATTCACATGAGGGATGTGCGTGGAAGTGGTGTGTGTGAAAACTTAAAGTGAACCAATGATCTGATCAGAGGAGAAAAAAACATACATAGGTTTGGATGAGAATCTTGAAGGAGAAAGGTTGGGTTGCTTTTAAGTTGGGTTGGCCTCACTTTGGGAAGTGAGGTGACCTAAGGCCAAGTGGGTTGGGTTGACCACACTTTGTGGGAAGTGAGGTGACCCAAGGCCCACTTGGGTTGGGTTGGCCTCACCTCACTTTTGGGAAATGAGGCAACCTAAGGCCAAGTGGGTTGCATTTGGGGGCTCCAACACAAGGTGGTAGGATTGGCGGCACCCCACAATGCAAGACTACACCCAAAGTTGGGTGTAGTCCCAACCCAACTGTACACCACAATTGGTGTACAGTCACAAGTGTTAGCATGCGAGAATATACAATTCTAACAGTGTGGTGGCATGCACGGCGGGGCAAACGTATGAGAATAAGGGCAGAAAGAAGCCCGTCCACAAGCGAGTTGGAAGGAGAGCGAGTTGGGAGGAAAGCGAGATAAAAGAGAAGACGAGAGGCCAAACGTTGAGTGGGTGTGCACGATGAAGGCATGGGGATGAGGGGAGACCTGTTGGATGATCTGCGGCGTGAGGTTGAATGTGATGGTGTTGCTCTGCGGTGGGGTGATACACGCACAGCAGACATGCACATGCAAACACGCACGCGCGGCAAGGATACAGAAAAAGGGCACGTGAGGAGAGGGTGAACCGTGGTCCATGAATGTGAGGCATGGGCACAGGATGGCTGGTCTGCACTTGATAAGTGCATGAGAGTGTGCTTCTCAGCTTTCATCGATCGCTGGACTTGCTGAAGCAGAACAGGATGCCACGCCCACACCTATCACTACACAGTGCTGTAGCCTCCACTGGCAATGCCCTCCACATGACAGTGGCGCGTCCAAGTGCGTGAAATTCAGATGTGTGCTCGGGGCGGCGATGCGGCTGCCACGCCCCACAACAGCATCCAGGCGTGAGCATCTCACACACGCAGCGCCAGAGAAGGCAAGCATAATAAACCCCCCTTCCCCTCCATTCATCCTCCACTGAACCCTTCCTGCCATTACCCTGCCTTCCACCACCCACCCTGCAGACTGCAGTCTGCCACCCACCCTCCCATCCGTCACCCACCCTCCCATCCGTCACCCACCCTCCCATCCGTCACCCGCCCTCCCATCCGTCACCCACCCTCCCATCCGTCACCCACCCTCCCATCCGTCACCCACCCTCCCATCCGTCACCCACCCTCCCATCCGTCACCCACCCTCCCATCCGTCACCCACCCTCCCATCCGTCACCCGCCCTCCCATCCGTCACCCACCCTCCCATCCGTCACCCACCCTCCCATCCGTCACCCACCCTCCCATCCGTCGCCCACCCTCCCATCCGTCGCCCACCCTCCCATCCGTCACCCACCCTCCCATCCGTCGCCCACCCTCCCATCCGTCGCCCACCCTCCCATCCGTCACCCACCCTCCCATCCGTCACCCACCCTCCCATCCGTCACCCACCCTCCCATCCGTCACCCACCCTCCCATCCGTCGCCCACCCTCCCATCCGTCACCCACCCTCCCATCCGTCACCCACCCTCCCATCCATCACCCACCCTGCAGACTGCCACCCACCCGGCCATCGGTGACGCCTCGCACGTCTGCCAGCATCGCACTCGCCACGCCCACCCGCTGCTTGCGCTTCCGCCGCTCCTCCTCCACGCCCTGCCATGCCATGCCATGCCATACATGGTACAACGTGGGATGGGGTGGTGGGAATTGGATGGCACATGTTCACAGAGGACAGAGGGATGAGGCGAGGGCAACCCAACCAGACCTTGGCAGCAAGAAAATCACTATGGTGCTTTCCTGGCGGCCCATTCACCTTCCTGGCGGCCCATTCACCTTCCTGGCGGCCCATTCACCTTCCTGGCGCCCCCCCCACCTTCCTGGCAGCCCAGAACTCGGACTCGGTGAGCGCGCCCGTCATGACCAGCTCCTGATGCAGCCGCCTTAGCTTGCTGTGTGCGCCGTATGCAGCACAGTGCATGGAGGGTAAACAGTATGGAGAGGAAACGGCATAGGGCATGGAAACAGCATGGTCGGATGGGAAGGCACCCGCATGTACATGTGTGCGTGCAGTGCACAGCACACACACAGACATGCACATCCACATGCAGAATAAGTAAGGCATTCCGTGTGCTGCAAGTGTGTTTGAACAACCAACCAAGTCTTGCTCCTCTCGCGCTTCCCCCATTCACTGCATTCACTCCCCCATGCACCCCTGCACTCCTCTCTACCCCCCCCCCCCCCCCCCCCCCCTTAACACGCACGCGTCGGACTGCAGCAGCTTGTGCCGGCGCTGCAGCTCTGCCGGGTCCAGCAGCTCGCCACCCAGCACACCAGGCACCCCGGGCGGCAGCCCACCACGCACGGCCCCCCCACTCGCCCCTCCAGCTGCTGCTGCTGCTGCAGCGGCAGCGGCGGCAGCTGCGGCAGCAGCAGCATCAGCAGGGGGGAGGAGTGGTGAGGCGGAGCCGGAGGGAGCGGAGGGTGGAGGAGTGGATGGGGTGGGGGCGGAGGAGGATGCTGACGTGCCCTGGTGCTTGGCCTGGTAGGCACCTGCAACAAGAGGGTGGTGATGGGAGGCGATGGGAGGGGTGGATGGGGTGGTGACGTGCTCTGGTGCTTGGCCTGGTAGGCACCTGCAACAAGAGGGTGGTGATGGGAGGCGATGGGAGGGGTGGATGGGGTGCTGACGTGCTCTGGTGCTTGGCCTGGTAGGCACCTGCAACAAGAGGGTGGTGATGGGAGGCGATGGGAGGGGTGGATGGGGTGCTGACGTGCTCTGGTGCTTGGCCTGGTAGGCACCTGCCGTGATGCTCGGGGGGTGGTGGTGGGTCATGGTAAGGTAAGCCACAATAACAGGTGGCGCGATGATGGCATCGCATGCGCTCATGGGGACTGACCGAGCAAATGGCGCCCATGCAGGGAACGCAACCAGCTTGCAATACACCGAGAAACACTTGGGCAACCCGGTGATATGTTCTGCTTAAACCTCCCCCCCACCCCCCGGTGACATCCCAGGTGACATTTTGCAATGTCGCAGGTTGTAAACCTGTCATCACACGTCCAACCCTTCCGCCCCGCAACCGCACAGGCCACCCTACTGGACCTCACAATCCCAACCGTCCCCCCTCAACAATCTGTACCTACCGACGTTGGGACTGCCTCTGTAGCCTTCACATCTCATACTATGAGTTACGTGCCTCAAATTGGGTCGAGGAAAAATAATTGTCTCGCGCTGAACCAATACCTTTTTCATTGCCATCGAGTCCACACAGCTGCGCGGAAACGATGTCAACGAGCTGGAGACGGCTCATCTTAGCTCGACCCACTTGTCTGTGATTGGCAAGGTGAGTCCGATCCCCGCTTAGCCTGTCAAACCTAATCTCTGGCTTGGTTCGTCCGCCCACTAGGTCGTCCTGGTTCGAAAAGAGCTGGCTCGGCTTAGACCCATGGTAACAGCTACCAGCATAAAGTGGATTTGAAGCTAGGAAGACAAAATCTGGGAGGAGAAGAGGTGGCATAGGGAAGAGGGGAACCGCTGGAGTGAAGCGGGTGGCAGGATAGGCATGGCAGGGCGGTGGTCACTCACTGTAGACATCCCTGGCCTTGTCACGATCAGCGAATGAGGAGAAGACAAACATGTAGCCACCCTCTGCCTGCACGGCACACCGGAGGCACACACACACACACACACACACACACACCCCCCCACACACACACAGACACACACACACACACACCCACACACACACACACACCCACACACACACACACACACACACACACGCACGCACACACACACACACACACACACACACACACACACACACACACACACACACACACAAATGGAGGCGTGTGGTTCATGCAACTCACAGGCATGCCATGGGGCGGATGAGGGCGTGGCATGGGAGGAAGGGAAGGGAGAGCACGGCACGAGGACATGGGGACGAGGGGTTTTGTAGGGGATGAGAATGAGGGGTTGAGGGAGTAGGGAGATGAGGGGATGGGGGATTGAGGGGTTGAGGGGGTGTGAGGACATGTTTGTTTTTCAGAGAGGACAAGTGCGTGGGGGAGTGGAGTGAGGGGGTGAGGGGGGGGGGGGGGAGGTGGGGAAGGGGACAAGGGGTTGAGGGAGTAAGGGCACGAGGGGTGAAGATGTGAGGGGTGCGACTGAAGAGCGTGAAGGGGTGAGGGCGCGAGGGGGTGCGAGAGCAGGAGAGAGGGTGAGGGTGAGTGGCAGGGCACATGCACAGCAGGGTCGGCATGGGGGAAGGAGGGGGGACGAGGGGATGAATGAGGGGTGGAGGGGTTGGGCAGTGGGCACGCACAGCAGGGTCGGCATGCGGGCTGAACTTGAGCAGCGCTGTGGTGGCTGTGGGTGTCTCCTTGCTCCACCTGTGCGCTGCACATGCCACGCCATGCAACATGCATGCCATCATGCCGTGCCATGCGATGCCATGCCATGCCACGCCGTGACATGTAATGACATGCCGTGCCATGTTATGCCATGCCATGCCATGCCATGCCGTGCCGTGCCATGAGATTGGGGTGGGGAGAGGAGCGACGGGAGAGGCTATGATACGAGTGTGGCAGCGCGAGGAGGGAAAAGGGAGCCAGAGAGCGGGATAGCAGCAGGAGAAACAACAGGACGACACGTGTGGGGGGTGGTGAAGACAAGGCAAGGCAAACAAGGGAAGGGAAGGCAAGGCGAGGCAGGGCAAGGCAAGGCGATGCAAGGCGAGAGCGGCTCTCATGGCACTCCCATGTATGTGCTCGCTGGATGCTGGCAAGAGGCACGAGGCATGTCAAGAAGCTCACACTTTATGCTGGAAAGAGGCACGTCGAGCCGTGCTGCTGCTGATGGGTTGGCGGGTACCCAAGAAAAGGACGTGGGGGTCTGTGTGTATGTACAACGGGCAACAGCACGTGCACGCACACTCATCCATGCACACACAAGCACATGCCCCACACACAAGAACATGCATGGACACACATGCATGGACACATCTCCATACAAACACACGTCCATGCACGTGCATGACAGAGATGCTGAAGGCCTGCACGCACAAGGGACAGCCGGCTGCCACGAGACTCTGCCCCATGCTTCCTGATTCCTCACGTCATTGCTTCCCTGCTCTCTTTCTAGCTTCCTTACTGTCCTCGACTGCTCCCAGCAGACCTTCAGCTGCACGCCATCGTAGACATGTCAGCAGTGCCACCACGGCGTGCCACTCCTGCTTGCGTTCGTTCTGCCTCTTACAGCGCATTAACCGTTCCTTCACACCCAAGGTGAGTGGTGAAGAGGCGCAAGGGGGGAAGTGCATAGAGCTACAGCGGCCGAACCATCGCACACGCACACAGTACGATCAAGCCGTATCCAGTGCCGCGTACCATGCTGACCCCATCGCACCTCACCATGGTGACCCCATCGCACCTCACCATGGTGACCCCATCGCACCTCACCATGGTGACCCCATCGCACCTCACCATGGTGACCCCATGGCACCTCACCATGGTGACCCCATGGCACCTCACCATGGTGACCCCATGGCACCTCACCATGGTGACCCCATCGCACCTCACCATGCTGACCCCATGGCACCTCACCATGGTGATCATGCCGTCTATCGCGGGCCCCTTGGCTGCCGGCTTGAGCTTCGCACGTGACGACAGCACCACCTCCATTCCAACCCAACTGCTGCTCTCGCCGTCTGTGGGTTGCGAAACGCACCCCCCCGAGTCAGGTCAATAGAGCTGCGAGTTGGTATCAACTCTTTGAGGAGGAAGCTGCCTTCATCCAACCGACTTGCGGCCCGATGCACACGTGGATTGCTCTCACATGCACCCAGCTACTGCTGTTCCTGCCACGCACACATAAGAAAGAGGGGGGAGGGTTGGATTGAAGGGTTGTGGAGGGCATGGGAGATGCAGGCACTCACCAGTTGTGGCAGCAATGACATCGCTCTTCTCTCACCTCACTCACTCCCCGTTACCTTCGCTCCCCCCACCGTACCTCAGCTCCCTTCCCAACCCTTCCCCTCACCTCCCCTCCCCTCCCCTCCCCTCCCCTCCCATCCCCTGCTGCCCTCCCCTGCCCTCCCCTCCCCCCGTCCCCCCTGCTTTCTCCTGCCCTGTGCCCTAACCTGCCCAGTTCCCTTCCATCTCCTGCCCTCCCCTCCCCTGCCCTCCCTGCCCTTCCTATTCATCCCTTCCCCCTCCGTTCCTTCCCGTCTCTTCCCAACCCATGGTCCTGCCTCGCCCCTTCCCGTCCCCGTCCCTCCCCTTCCCGTTCCTTTCCGTCCAAGCCCGTCCACTCTCGCCCTTCTGTCCGATCCGTCGCTTCCCATCCCGAACCCGGCCCAACCCGTCCTGCTCCGCCCCGTCCCCTCTCATCCCGTCCCGCCGTCCCGTCCAATCCCGTCCCGTCCCGCCGTCCCGTCCAATCCTGTCCCGTCCCGGCTCCTCTCGTCGCGTCCCGTCCCGTCCTATCCCGTTTCATCGATTATCACATTCTGTCCCCTCTCGTCCCTTCCCGTCTCGTAATTTCTCCATTTCCCCTGTCGCTTCCCGTGCCGTTTCCTTTGTACCCTAAACCATCACTTTCGCCGATTACACAGAAGAGCTGTAGTACGGATTCTGCGGAGAGTAGCGATTTGCTGAATGCGTTACAGTGTAGGTCCCTTGTACGACGCTGACTCTGCTCGCTCGTCAGGTACTTCGTTCTCACAGGATTTTCGAGCTCTTACCAGGAAACATGAGTCGTCTGGCTCTAGGGAGCGAAATATGACTTACCTTCCTCGCTGCTATAATTGAGGTAGCGTTTTTTTCCCGTCTCATGGTTCGTCAGCTCCTGTAACACGTTTCTTCTGCTCGGATATTGCCTCAGCTCCGTCTCGTTGCTCTCTGCTCTCTGGTCCCAGCGCTCTTTCCTCAGCCTGTGTGTGGATGGGGTCGACAAGAGGGCGTGTCATCTGTTGTTGGGGCGCAGGGATGTTTATTTTGCCCAACATTGTGAGACGACCAGAATAATTCGACAGCGTTGCGAAAGATTGAGTCGAAAATGTCCCGCGAAGTGACGGCCGTGACACGAACGACAGACAGTACAGTATTGACGAAGAAGCAAGGGTTACAGACGACAGGTACGAATCCTTCCTATCACCCAGCGTTGCCGAGAATTGCGAGTCTGTGCGCGACTTGTATTCTGTGTCTGTTACACAATAGCTGGTAACAGAACTGGAAATAATTAAACAGAACCGGTTCAAATATACGGGACCCGCCCTGAAGTGTCTAGTCGAGCTCAAGCTCGAGCCGTCATCCGCTCTCATTTCTCAACTGCTGAGCTGATCGCACATGGCGGAATATACTACTACGGCCCTGCACTGCTGCACACCCTGTTAAAATCCTGTTAGCGTAATTTCCCACTTTCAGTGCTGCTTCAGCGCCACGCTAACCGCTAGCCGTTCCTTAGCACACCATAGACCGATCCCTCCGCTCTCGTATCAAACCTCCAAGATGGAGACTTGCGCGAGCATCAACGGCCTGCCCGACGATCTCCTCATTGCCATCCTCTCCCTCCAACAACCCGCGTCATGCAAGTCCTACAGTGACGCGAGTGGACATCCAGTTACGCACTTTCAACTACGAGAGACTATACAAAGCAAGACGATTCGATAGTTGAGACCTCGATAGAATCCCCTCCTCCCCTCACAGACGCCGCTCGGAATCTCTGCATCGCATCCGTCTGCCGTCGCTGGCGTCGCCTCGCAAAGCATCACGTCACCACGCTCTCCGTGAAAGCAGACCTCTTGGTGTCCCTGGAAACCCTCTCAGCCACTATCGCATGCTTCCCCAACCTCACCCATCTGCATCTGGGTGACAGCAGCGTCAAGTCCCTCGACGATGCCTTCCTCACTCACCTCGCCTCGTCGTGCCCGCAGCTGACGGCTCTCCACGTGGGAAGGAGCTGGCGAGTGCCCGACGACCGCGGCTATCTGGTGAAGCACTATCGCTGGAAGGAGGAGCATCGGATCACAACAGGCGGCTTGGATCGGTTCTTTCACGAGCTCCCCAGATTGGAGCAGGTTACCCTTTTCAGCCTTCGCCCTGAAATAGAGCTTCCAGATTCCCTTTTTTGCTTAAAACATCTGCACACCCTTCTTCTCACCGACGTCTCAGCCGTTGAAAATCCTGGTTTCGCAAGCCTCACTGCCCTGACCACCCTGTACGTCACCTTCCCCTGGAACCACCACCACCTCTCCTACCTCCTGCACCTCCCACGACTCACCCACCTGTTCACCTTTGCCCCTCACGAAAACCATCAGCATGCGGCGGGTGCTGCAAGCATGACTCTTCCACCCTGCCTGAATTCGCTCAACTTCATGCTGTCTTGTCCCGATCTTGACACCATGTTCCCATCAGCATTACCGTTCACCGGGCTGGAGGAGTTGCTCATCGCCAAGTGCAGCGAGCTCGGGACCCTTCCTGACCGCATAGGACACCTGCTGCCATGCCTTCGCAAGCTGGCCATTCGCGAGTGCTTCTATTTCGCTCACCTGCCTGAAAGCTTCACCTCTCTGAACCTTTTGGAAGAGCTCATTGTCTCCACGTGTGATGACTTCACATTACCCTCCAACTTTGGCCACCTGCCTGCGCTCAAATCACTGGTGCTGAAAAGCTTGTCATTCACCGAATTCCCTCCTTCCTTCTGCCATCTCACGTCTCTCGAGGCACTCATTTTAGCTGATTGTCACCCGCTTTTGCATCTGCCCGCACGGCTCTGCCACTTGACTGCTCTCAAGACCCTCTGCTTCTCAAGATCAGTGGGCCTTGCGTTGCCGGAGGGCGTTGGGGCCCTTGCAAGGCTGGAGGCCCTCAGGCTGCACAACTGCCAGCACCAGACCCTTTCACGCTCCTTCACCGACCTCTCCTCCCTCACGAGCCTTGACCTGAACGCATGCTTTGGAGGCGACCTGCCAGCCCTGGGAGAGCTGAGCAATCTGCGGGAGCTGAAGATCGTTGATCTCCCCATCAGCACGCTCCCTACCTCACTCACACGGCTCACGGGCCTGCGTACCTTGGAGGTGAGGGGCTGCCAGGCGCTCCTCCAAGTGCCCCCTCGGCTGGATATGCTCGTGGGGCTGAAGAGGCTGGTGCTGACGGAGTGTGAGGAGCTGAGTAGGCCCCCTGCTGGTCTGCCGCCCTCTCTTGAGACCCTCTGCTTGGGGCCATTCGTGGATGGTTCTTCCCATGTGCTGGATATCTCTGGGTTGTGGCAGCTGAGGGTGCTGAAGCTGAACCGCGTTGGGGTGCACTGTGGGGCTGCTGTGAGCAGTAGCTTGTTGTGCCTGGAGCAGGGGGTGCAAAAGGGACAGGGGGAGAAGAGGGGAGAGGGGGAGCAGAGGGAACAGGGGGAAAGGGGGTGCAGGGGGGACGGGGGTAAAACGGGGGACAGGGTGAGCAGGGGGGGCAGGGGGAGCAGGGGGGGCAGGGGGTGCGCTGGGTGCAGGGGGGGCAGGGGGAGCAGGAGTTGCAGGAGGAGCAGGGAGAGCAGGGGGTGCAGGGAGGGCAGGGGGGCCAGCTAGAGAAACTGGAAGAGCTGGAGATGCGATTGGAACGCGGAAATCAAAAGCTTCCAATCCCGTTGACTTTTCTCCCTCGCCTGCGCAGCTTGCTGATAGACGCGCCTGGACTTTGCAGCCTCCCAGAAAACATGGGGGCAGCGCTGCCGCAGCTACGGCAGCTAGAGCTCCTTTCTTGGTCACCGGAGAAGCTTCCATGAAGCATCACAGAGCTCTGCTCACTGACGTCGCTCACGGTTGAAGCACCTCAGCTGACAGCGCTACCTCCAGGGATGAGCTCCTTGTCTCGGCCGCGCAGGCTGGAGCTGATTGGTTGCAACGCCTTGCAGCAGCGCCCAGAGTTGCCTCTCTCCCAGCTTGAATGTCTGCATCATCTGATACTTGGTAACTCCTCATGCGCATCCCTTCCTGCCAACTCCGTGCTGCTGACAGATAAGCCTTGACTCGGTTGCATTTAAGGGAGAAATCTCTGGTCGATTTGGCCCAGATGACTGTACTGCGGTATCTCAACGGCTGCTGCCTGCGATTAGGTAAGGTAGGACACACATCATTGGTTCTGTGGAGTCTGTAGTGTAGTGCACTCTGATTGTGCTTGCAAAACCTCAGTGTTGGATAGGAAAGGCCAGCTTTAAGGCTTGTGTTGCTTGTGGTATGGAAGATGACTGATCAATGACTAGTCATGCGCTCTGCCGAGCCGAGCTTCTTGAATTGCACTACCCTGTTTCTCTCGTTGCTTGGGCTGTCAAGTCAAGATGTGTTTGCTTCCTTCGTATAGGTACAGTGTGCAGAACCCATTTGTTTTTAATCTAGACCCTATGGTGTTTTGTCAGGAGGATCACGAATATACATACCGTCATACCCCGGATATAAGCGCCACCCGCGGATAAGCGCCTGGCGCTTTTAATCGGCGCCCGGCGCTTATATCCGGTGCTCGATTATAAGCGCACCCCCCTGAAAAAACTTGTTTTATTATAAGCGCACGTAAACTTTAAATTTTGAATTGTGTTCGAAACACTGTAACGATTTCTACTTCAGCAGGGGGATGTGTTGCAGATTCGCTTCCCTTCACATTCGGACCCTGCACTGGATGCGGGACCAGTCAGCAGGAGCAGTCAGGAGCTGTCAGAAGCTGTCAGAAGCTGTCAGGAGCTGTCAGAGTAGGTGTATCTCCAGCGCGCGCGAGAAATTTCACAGAACTTCGACTCGATTGAAAAAGGCTAGCACGAGATCTACAGCTTGGTGTTAAAACATATATAAAATATATATGTCGTTTTATAAACGCCGGCGCTTATAAATTTACCCGATTATAAGCCCACCCCCCCTAAAAAAACCTGTTTTATTATTGCCCCCCATGGGGGTATATCCGGGGTATGACGGTACCGTCATACCCAGGATAGTAGCGCAGATGCGCTTATAATAAAATCTTGATTTTTTTTTTGGTGCACTTATAATCGAGTAACGGCCATAAGCGCCGGCGCCTTTATAATGGTAAAAATAAAATTTGTTTGTAAGGGTACCAAAATGAAGCTTGCAATAAGGCGAACACAACGATGTGCCGTTCACGTGGGGTCATGCATGGAATCCTCGCGCTATTCGCCGCGATTCGATTCCCCACCGCACACTTCACGTCCCAGTGCAGCGCACCTGCCAGCGCTGACACAAAAGCTGTCGTGCGGCCCAATCGGGTTGTCATGCGCGGCCAGGCAGGACAACTCATCCGAACCCTCTCGAAGGGTGTGGAATATGCCCTGCCAGCACAGCACGTCTGGTGCCATGAACCCTCCTCTGCGGGTTCAGGCAGGGTGATTTTCGTCTTTCATTGATGAGGACCCCGAGGCGCTTTCCTGAAGGGGTCCTCTTCAATCGTTCATTTCTTCATTCATGCTTTGCGTTTCCCATTCACTTTCTTGTTCACGCCCGCCTGGCTGCGGAAGCCATGGCGGAATTCACAGGCACTCATTTCCTTTTCAAGAAAAAACCTAGGCCCGCTTACACAGTTGACGCTGACGGATGGTACACACGTATCCCACCAGAACCACCATCGCCACCACAGCCTCCTGCTCCTCCTGCGCCACCTGCTCCTCCTGCGCCACCTGCTCCTCCCGTCCCGCTCCTCCTGCTCCTCCATATCAGGCGTTCCCACAACCGCCTGGGAATCATCCCGTGCTTACGCTCTTGCTCCCGTCCACCTTCGACGAGTACCTGTCTGAACCGGACAATAACGTCTGAATCATCCCGTGCTTACGTCTCTATCAACAAGTCGTTCAAGGCCTCCGTCCGCCAGCAGTACCAGAAGTGGTTTGAAGACGAAGGCCAAGAGCGACTGACAGCAGCAGGTTGTTAAATTGTAATGTGTTATATGTTGGTAGGCTGTAGTGGGGTAGCCAATATGGGGTACAACCCCAACTAGGGTTTCATATTTGTACCCAAACTTCTCCTAGTTCATTCATTCTTGCCTAGTGATTCTGATATGGTATTCAGAGCAGGAGGTCCCTAGGACCTACCGACCGTTTTTTTTTTAAGGGCCCACCACCGCTCGCATGCGGTTACCACGCTACCCCGTGCCCTAGCCTCGTAGCGCCCTCGTGCGCCCTCGTTAGCGCCCTCGCGCGCCCCTCGTTAGCGCCCTCGCGCGCCCCTCGTTAGCGCCCTCGCGCGCCCCTCATTAGCGCCCTCGCGCGCCCCTTGCTAGCGCCCTCGCGCGCCCCTCGCTAGCGCCCTCGCGCGCCCCTCGCAGCGTCGCCCGCCCGCCGAGCCGCCCGCTCGCAGCGTCGCCCGTCCGCCACGCTGCCCGCTCGCCCCTCGCCCGCCGCGCTGCCTGCTCGCAGCGTCGCCCGCTCGCCCCGCTGCCCGCTTCGCAGCCCGCTCGCCCCGCTGCCCGCTTCGCAGCCCGCCCGCCCGCTCGCTGCCCGCTTCGCGGCCCGCCCGCTTCGCTGCCCGCTCGCAGCGCCGCCCGCCCGCCCGCTACCTGCTTCGCAGCGTCGCCCGCCCGCTTGCTGCCCGCTCGCAGCGTCGCCCGCCCGCCCGCTGCCCGCTTCGCAGCGTCGCCCGCTCGCTCGCTGCCCGCTCGCAGCGTCGCCCGCCCGCCCGCTGCTCGCTCGCCGCGTCGCCCTCCCGCCTCGCTGCCCGCTTGCAGCGTCGCCCGCCCGCCCGCTGCCCGCTTGCAGCGTCGCCCGCCCGCCCGCTGCCCGCTTCGCAGCCGCCCGCCGCGCTGCCCGCTCGCCGCGTCGCCCGCCCGCCCCGCTGCCCGCTTCGCAGCCCGCCCGCCGCACTTCCCGCCTGCAGCGCTGCCCGCCTCGCCTGCTGCTCCCTGCCTGTGCACCGCCGCTTGCTCCTGCTGTGGCTGCTAGCTTCGCTCTAGCGCGTCCCCTCTGCTGCTGCTGCTGCTCTGCTGTGCCCTCACGCCTGAGCTATGGCCTCTATTCGCGTTCTTTCCTTCGATGCTGAGGGCCGTCCCGTGCAGTTCACTTCCTGGCTCGACGACCTGCAGTTGTATCTTATGAGCAATAGCACGGACCACATCTCCCTCTATGACTACGCGTCTGGTGCTGCCGCTGCTCCTGCTGCCACAGCCGAGCTTAGTGTACGTTCACAGTGGCAGACTCGTGACGCTGCAGCTCGCCTGGCTATTCGCAGTCACCTGCCGTTAGCTGAGCTAGAGCACTTTGGCGACTGCAAAACCGCTAAAGCCCTATACGACGCTGTCGTTGCTCGCTACTCCTCACCTGCCACAGCCGAGCTTAGCCGTCTCATGCTGCCTTACCTGTTCCCTGACCTGTCCGCCTTTGCTACAGTCGCCGATCTTATCACCCACCTTCGCACTAGTGATGCTCGCCTGCGTGCCGCCCTTCCCACCGAGTTCTGCGCTAAGAACCCCCCTCCCCTGTACTGGGCACTCCACTTCATAGTCACCCGTCTCCCTGACACCCTCAGCTCAGTGCGCGACTATTTCCTTGCTCGCTGTCCCACTGAGCTCACTGTCGCCCTCCTAGAGGAGAAGCTGCTAGCAGCCGAGAAGAGCATTGTAGCTGTAGGTGCTGCTCGCGGCGCTCCTCGCACCCCCATCTTTGAGGGGTGTTCTCCCTCTCCCCTCGCTCCCTCCTACGCTACTGCTGCTGCTGTTGACTTCCTTGGTGCTGAGTCTGCTGGCGCTGCTTCTGCTCCTGGTGGGAGGCGCCGCACCGGCAAGGGCAAGGGGGGCAAGGGTGGCGGGGGTGGCGCTGGGGGGGGAGGGGGTGGGGGAGGTGGGGGGGGAGGCGGTGCTGGAGGGAGCGGTGGCGGGAGTGCCGGTGGGAGTGGGGCCGGCGGCGGAGGCGGGGGCGGCGGCGGGAGCAGTGGCGGTGGTGGCAGCGGCGGCAGTGGCGGCGGTGGCGGTAGTGGCGGTGGCGGTGGCGGTGGTGGCGGTCGGAGCGGAGGTAGTGGCGGCGGTGGAGGTCGGAGTGGAGGCACCGGCTCGGGCCAGAGCTCCCAGCAGCAGCAGCGTCCCCAGTCGACCCAGCAGCTTCGTGAGTGGCTTGCTCAGCGTGGGACGTCGGGGGGCAGTGGCCGCTGTTCCTATGTCATTCGCACAGGTGATCGCAAGGGGCAGACGTGTGGAAAGTTCCACACTCAGTACCGCTGCTTCTTCCGCCTTGACGACGCTTGGCGTGAGGAGATGGGCGAGGATGTTGAGCGCCCTCGCTGGGCTGAGCTGATGAGGGCTGGGGTTGATATCTTTGCTCTTGACTATGATGCTATTATTGCTGCCATGTATGCATTGACTGTTAGTGCCGAGGGAGACTGTTACTTGTGTGTGCCGCCTGACCCAGGTATAGGGCCCGCTGCCCTAGGTACTAGTGAGTCTGCTCTCTCTGGTATGGTGCCCCCTGTACCTGCTCCCTCCAGCACTGTCCCTGCTGCTTGCGAGTCTGCTCTCTCAGGTACAGCACCCACAGAGACTGCTCTCTCAGGTACTGCACCGGCTGAGCCCTGTCACACCTTCACCCTTGACTCAGGTGCTTCCCGCTGCTTCTTTCGAGACAGTACTGAGCTCACACCGCTTCCTGCACCGGTCCCAGTCTCCTTGGCTGACCCCTCTGGGGGCCCGGTCCTTGCCCGGTCCACCACTGTGCTCCCTTGTCCGGCGGTTCCGTCTGGCTCGTTGACGGGTTTCCACCTCCCCTCGTTCTCGACGAACCTGGTGAGCAACGCTGTCATCCAG